CACACCCACATCCACACCCACACCCACCCACCCACACACCCACACCCCGCACCCCACACCCACATCCACACCCCACACCCAACCCACATCCACACCCACACCCACACACCCACACCCATACCCACCCACACTCACACCCACACCCACACCCAAGATTCTAGATGTTCTATATTACTTATTCTTTAGCTTCAGAAAAAACCTTAATCTTATTGCCGTTTGATTGACAGATTTCGAAAATACCGTAAAAAAGTGCTATTTAACAGTAATTTTGTTTTATCTTTCGGGCTAAATTAAGGTGCTATGCGCTAATCTTTTGGATGATTCGTTAGTTGCATCTTGTGCAGTTTTTTCTGCTCTATCGAATGCACGTAAAATTATTGTCGACCCGAACCTCTTTCGATATTTTTTTTCATTGAAATACTAAAAAACAGCAAAAAATTTTGAAAATTTTTGTGTCGTTTTTCATATATTGACTTTCCGTAGATATGTTTAAAAATTATTTAAGGAAAATCAAAATATACAGTTTTGTAGAGCAAAACTTGCTCTATCTTTTGAGGTATGATTCTATTTGATTTGATGGAATTTTGGAAAAAAATAATCACATACTAAAAACGAAAAAAGTATCATCATTATTTTAGAACTTCACGAAGATACTTTCAATGTTTTTTTCATATCTATTCAAAAGTCACTCAGAGAAGGCTAAAAATTTGGATTTCTAGGTTTTTTTATATGCTCTTTCATTTGCAATGATACAAAAGGTAGGTTAATTTTTTTCGTATGACACCCCTTTATGAAAATGCTCGATTCACTCATGGACCGTCTCTTAATAAATTGAAGAAGCAAAAGAAGAATCTATGATGAAATGCAGCAAGGGTGGGGGTGTGTGGTGTGGGCGTGACCAGAATAAGATCGTCACACACCCCACCCACACCCACGCCCACACACCCTACACCCACACCCACATCCACACCCACACACCCTTGACATGATATAATCTTCTATAAGATGTAGCATGTCCATTATCAAAAAATGTCTTTATTAGTCATTCTTAAAAATACCCAACAAATCGATCTATGTTTTTTGTCTTCTGATTAATTATAAAACTACGACAAAAAAAATATCTTGTTTTTAATATATGAAAACATAAACATGGACAATCATATAAAAAAAGAGAGAGATTAAAATGAATGTATTTTATTGTTGAATACCATGTCATTTGATTAATAGTTGTTAATTTGAACTTTTTTCCTTAGTTGTCTGGGTTGATTCAATCTTCCTGACTTTTTCACATTAACAATACGAAAACTTTCTAGAATATTAAAAAAATTCAAATATATCGTGCGCAAAATGTTAGTTCGATAGATTTTTTCACTTTATGCTGTAAAAATAATATATTTTTTTTTTAAATACATAAAGAACAATAACGATTTTGTCTATTGTACTCAATAGAGATTTTGCAGCTTCAGGAGTTGTCTACAGAATGTACTATTTAATTTTCAAATATATTGCCTCAATTCGAAGATTTTTTAAACTAAAATATATGAAACGAATGTCAATGTCTTGTTTTATATTACGTCACTAATGCTAGGCTTGTACTAATAACTTCTCTGAACAAATGTCTCTAGTTCTAATTTTTCAGGTATTTTAATTTGGCGAGAGGTCTTTTATATCACTTAGATAAGCCAGCAGATTTTATGGTCTCATTTCAAGATAGAAGTAAATGAAAAGATCTGAAAATTTCACAACAACATGTTCTCATTAAGGCCTGTTTCTATGTAAAGTTTCAAGTCAAAATTCAAAAATCAGTTTTTTCTAGTGTTCCTGAGGGAGGACAATAGCATTTGTTTAAAAAATACCGTCAATATGCAGTATCTCTGCCGTAGCAATAAGCTAATGGTCAGAACTCTTTTCAGGGTATTCATAGCTTATTTGGATCTATATAATGCACACCCGCAATGCAAAAGTGATTGAAAAATCTTCCAGCATACCATAAGATAAATAAATATATATAAAATCAAGTGTATAGAGTTCTAATTTGATGAAAAGACTACAAAAAATTTGTCTTCAATCTATGAAGAATCTAATCAAAATGATGATTATATCTCATGTAAACTTCGTATTCAAATCTTACCAAGAAATTCATTAATATCAATTCTTCCATTTTTATCTAAATCCATAGCAGAAATAAGCTCTTCAATATATGCTTCATTTATATCACCGATACCATATTCATCATAAAGTATAAGTTTAACAACATCAGCAAATTCATTATGACTTATAAAACCTATGATTTTAACATATATAATGGATAAGAAATATTTATCAAAATAAAACGAATCATACCTGAATGATCATAATCTATTAAATTAAATAATTGTATAAGCGTGTCTTTCCACATATATAAATCTTCCATAATACCAGGATTAGACTAAAACAATAAGAATATAATATTAATTTATAATTTCTTCTTTTCTTTTTTGTACCATTTGAAATCTTGTATTATCTAAAATATATCCATCAAACATTGTATTATAAAGAATTCCTTGTGTATCTTCTCGTACAAGTTTTGAACGTAATATAAGCCAAGGTAAATCAATATGAAGTACATTCGTCATAATCTTAGACCAAACTGTCAAAGATAAATGATCTAATTTAGAGGCAAAAACAAAATTCTTATTCAAAAAGAAAATATTATTATAAGTTGTATACTAGTTTGATATCTATCTGCTCTTTCAAATTCTTTTTGAAGTAAACTTTTATTTGTCATAATTTTTTCCACTAATGATTGATAAGCTGGATCTTCGAATAATGTTACTCTTTAACGAACAAAAAAAAAATAACAGAAATATCTTGATTTTGATTATCTTACTCTTTATTAAAACTTAATTTTTTCATTTCAACATGTTCAATTTTATATTGAATTAATAATGGTTCTTGTTCGTTATAATCCCTGAAACATATTTAATATTTAAAACATTTAATGTCATGGACACAAACCATCGTATAACTGCACCCCAATTTGATTCACCACAATAATTTGATGCACTAAAAACAGTTAAAACTTTGTGATCATGTGTAAATTCATAGCCTCTTTCTTTGACTTGATGTGAACGTATAAGCATTGAATAGTTATATTCATTAAGAAATTGTTCTGTTATATCTGGACCAAAAAAACAGCCTATATTTCTGTCATCATTGTTTCGACAACCTTGACGATTATGAGGATCTGGATCACTCCACAATAAATCTAAATATATTTCATATCGAATATATGGGATTATTTATTTGTATTATTACTACCTTGCATTTGACGATATTCATTATCTTCATCAGGAGTCAATCGTTGACCACCATTTTTAGATTTTGGTGGTACTTCTAGTGAAATATCTACAAAACGATAAACATTGTTCAGTGTTGAAAATTACCGAACTCCTAGCCATTATTTATATTAGTTTTGATTAATTTTGAACACTCTTTCTGAAGCTATTCTTAGATTTTGTCTAGTGCAAAATACAGGTCTCGAAATCAATTGAAATCGATCGAAAAAAAATTAAAACTGTGAATTTTCGGCCAATCCCCAAACTTTTTTTACTCAGATGAATGAGATACCACCGGTTCCTGCCAGAAGCAGGAAGGTGGTGAATGAATTTCGTAACCAGATTTATCCAGCTCCCACTGGATACTATGTCTTTCTTGTGGATTTCTGCTGGAAATTCATGGATCCGAATTGTTAGTGGTTGTGAGTGTAGTTGAATGGGTATGCGTGGGATCGGTTGAACTAGTGAACAGGCACGGACACATCGAAATTTACACTGACATCCGCACCCGTACAATTACTCATGCATACATTTGAGAGTCGTATCGATTGTGTTGGTAAGGTAGTGTATCATTAATTTTGAACATTGATTATACTATTCGATGCATATTGTTGTGTTGATTCGAAATATGATATTCGTTTCTTTTGGAACTCAAGTTCTGATAGTCAAAGCCTTAGAATACAAATCCGTATTTATGACGTTTTGCTATCATATAGAAAAAAAACCGATTTTTTCTCAACAATCAAACAATATTTTTCAAAAAGCACGCAGAATTTTTATCCTAAACATACGACGAGGAAAATCAAGATGAAATTCGGATAAATATTGCGACTCTCGAGGCTTGATGCTTTTGGCGTGTTTCGATTTTATATGTTTAAAAAAACATTACAAAAAAAATTTGCTGAAATTCCGAATTGTCGGTGTACCCTTAAAAAATATGTATATATCATATTTTTAATCTTACATCGATTTCTTGTAAGAGACGTTATTTTTTGTAGATCAACACGACTAGATATTCCTCCATGTACTATCATAAGTTTAGATTTTTTTGCATGAACAGAAGAATATATTGGTAACCAACTAAATACATCTTTAAATAGATCAAGTAATGGTGTTTTCTGTCTCTAAATATAAACTTGATAAATATCTTCGATAAATTATGAACTAACTCGATATTTGTTATTAACTTCATCTTGAAAACCAAAATAACTTGAAAGCATTATATCTTCATGGTTACCTTTTAATTTTATCAAAAAAAAAAAACAAATTTAAATAAAAAAAAAAAATAAGAAGAAGATCAATACCTCGATTAAGAAAGACTGAACTTGGATAAATAATCAATGCAACCAAAAGTAAAAGAAAAACTTCAACGGAATTTCGGCCACGATCAACAAAATCTCCATTGAATACATATGGATTATCAATTCCAGGTAGTCCATTCTATAGATAATTTAAATAGAGAAAAATTAGGACTATTTACCCTACCTCATTAAATATATGTAATAAATCAGCTAATTGTCCATGAAGATCACCAATAATGTATATATGATGTAAATGAGATAAACCAATACGATTATAATTTGGTAAAGTTTTAAGTATAGCACGTGCTTGATGAAGAATTTGACAGACATATTTTTCATGTAAAATCTATGAATAGATAAAAAAATCATAGATTATAATAATATAAAGGCTCATACAATATGATCTGATTTATTCAAACGAAATCTTCAGTTAGTGTGGGTGGCTATAGGAGTGGATATTCTCTATACACTCACAGCCACACCCACATCCTAAAGTACTTTATCGTATTTTATATCTTAATCTTCTACAGTTTGTGTTGAATGTTGTGTCTTACTTACTTCTCCATATTGAAAAGCTTCAATTAAATCTACAAATGTCTGTCTTGTAATTGGACCTTCGATGCCTACAAAAAAAATGAATTATCAATTCATTTAATTTATAGAAAAAAAAACAGAAATAACCGCTTACGTGGTCCATAATAACTAGCTTCAACAGAAATACTATCAGGATCTGTTAATCTTAAAAGTTCTTTTTCTTCCACAGGTAATCGAGCTTTCTGAAGTAATTTTGAAACAGATGGAGCAAGTGAATCAGATGCTCTGAGTAATTTTTCAAATATATCCTTTAGCTAATATGTATAAATAAATTTCAAATACTAATGCAATTACAAAAATACAATAATATTTTATTTACTTTTGCTTCAGTTTGTTCACTAGAATATTCAAGTTTTTCATGTATTTGCCATGCTGCTCGTTTTTTTAATCTAAGTCGAGCCTGATGATTACGATAAGCACTTTGAATTTTTACTGCAGATTTATCAGCTAGAATCAAATATTATTTTTCTTTGTTCTTAATTATAACTATTTTCATTATTTTTCATGAAAAGAAATTCATACCTAACATTGTTGGCAATTGAGTAAGGTTCTTTTTTTTTGAGTTTATCTGGTTGATCAGACAGTAATGCTACTTGCGATATAATCTGAATGACAATAAAAAATCAAAAAATTAGTTCTCAAAATACTATTTTCTCTAAAACACAAACTGAACGATTTCTAAACACATTACAGTATATATTCTGCTTATATCTTTAAATAATTATTATTCACGACTTATAAAATATCAATTTAATAAAAATACCCCCGCATAAAGAACAAATATGCTACAGAAGTTTCGAATTACTGCACGAAAGAGATCAGTGAAATACGGGCAATGTCACCAATTTCAATGAAACATTGCCTGTATGAAGCCTCAACTGAGATATGACAATGTCAAAAACTTTGTCCTCTAACACCGAGAAAAGCAACTACTATTTATGTTATCGATTTTGTTGACAAGTATTACTGCAATGATGTTTCATTCGTTCTCTGAAAGCAGACGCGTATAAAGAATTAGTTGGAGTATAACAGTTTCGCTTTAACAATGAGCGAGTACTTTCGAAAGTGTCTAGAGTTGTTGAGAGACTCACATTGAGATATCGAATGAAGATGATAATCTAAACGTTTTTGATGAAAAGTTACTTTGATAGAATGATCAAAATAATACGTAATTAAGCATTGAAATTTCAGATACAAGATTCCTTACTCTGTTGATCGCACCCTAGGGGCGTGGGGTGTTAATATAATAAGAGCTCACATCCACACCCTCAATCCTTGAACTTGATATTGTTTCTTGCTTAAAATTCGAATTTTCTCTCATTTCCACTATGCCCTGAAATAGCTATACAAGTGACAGTGTCAAGAGAAATCTGAGTTGATAATTAAACAAAAGTTGTCGCCCGCAGCAACAAAACATCAAGCTAATTTTGATCACCTATTGCAAAAATAAATTTGTTCTTAAATAATTCTGTAATAAAGAAAAACTGTAACTTTTAATGATTCATTTCTTCAATAGCTATTTCCGCCTAACTATACCGCTGAAATAAACAGTAACTAAAGCAACTTTATTTCTTCACATGAAACTTAATGTATTATGATTATGTTCCTCAAGACTTAAGTGAGATAAATAGAATCAGTTTTCTTCTTTTACAATCTCCTCTGCAAAGTGAAACTTGCTTCAAAGACTTTTTTATTCGTCTCCAATTTACATAATCAAATGAGAAACAAAAAAAGAAGCAATGACAACTCATGAACGAAAAAAAAACGTCGCAGCAGTCAATGTTGATTATGTGTCTTTTATGAAAAAAGTATTGCACAGTGGGTTATCTACTCAATAAATAAGTTATTAAGATCTGAGATGCCTAATCATTTTGCAGAGGTAGAAGCAAGTTGGCAACTGTTTCAAGTAGCTAGGCACCCAAGCAGTCAGAAATGAGGCACGAACGCATTACAACAACTACTTTTTTCATGGGGATAAAGTAAAAAAATATTTACTGTGAAGTTTTTTTTTTTCGTATCATGAAAGAAATTTGATCTCTTATCAACTAAAAAAATGTATGTCTCGTGTTTTACTGATAATTTTCAGTTATCAGATAAGACAATAATAAGAATAAGTCGAAACAAACTATATGAATGGATTTGTATTGGTGTACATAGAACAAATTTTTATAACTATGTTAGTTTAAAAGTCAACGAATACAAAATTTCGAGTTTTCACTGCTTTTTGCAAGAAACTTCATATTTTGGTACTCAGAAGGCTTCATTTGTGTATTTTATTTATGGGGCATAAATTTTAGGATTTAAACTGACTAGTTTTAAATATTTGCTCAATGTGCACCAATACAGATCCAACCATAGAGTTCGTTTCGACTGGTTCTTATTATTCTCCTATTTGACAACTGAAAATTTTCTGTGAAACACGAGATATTTATTTTTTTTAGTTGATATTAGATCAAATTTCTTGCATGGCATGAAAAATGATACTTAACAATAATATTTGTTTTTTTTATCCCTCTAAAAAAAAATTCTAATCAACTTCTAAAACTAACAAAAAAAATCAGCCTATTTAATGCAACTGATGCGAAGATATTTCACTTTTTTAATTTTAGTACTATTTATGGACTACCGTGCAATATTTTCGATAATTTGACGTGGTCCTAGTATTCGAATCTGCGACTATGGCTACGTCTCGACGCAAGAGGAAAACGACTGACTTTGGGGACTTCGATGACTTCTAAATCATTAAAGTCAAGAAACTCTAGACATATGAATGTTTACGAATGAGTCTCTGAGAAAATCAGTCACTATAGGACATCTATGATGGAAGAGGATATCAGAATTCGCTGATTTTTTTATATGTTGTAGAGGATACTGAGTTTAGTAATCTCTGAAATTTTCAGCTCGATCGGATGACTTTTTTCAAGACAATTATTCGAAACATTAATGAAATTTTTGATAATATTTATTGTTTCATTTTTTTATAATTTTTTGCGAAGTTTCTTCGAAAAAAGGTACTTCTCTCTTTGGAAATGAGAGAGTTTTGACTTGTTGTCTTTGTAAATGTAACTATAGAGCTATTCTACCTCTGCATACAGAATTTCAGAAATTTTCA